CGAGAAGCTTCAACGATGGCTGCAGAGATTCCCAAAGATGCAGAAGACAAACTTCAAGCTACCTGGGCCCGATGGAAGCGGTACCTTCAGAGCTGTGATGCTTCATGGTCCTCCTGGGATAGGCAAGACTACAGCCGCTCACCTTGTAGCTAAGCTGGAGGGTTATGACATTGTCGAGAGTAACGCGAGTGACACTCGTAGCAAGAAGTTGGTTGAACAGGGTCTGCAGGGAGTCTTGAGCACTACCTCATTGCATGGGTATTTCGCGGGTGACGGAAAGAAAGTCGAAGCATCGAAGAGGAAGCTTGTTCTCATCATGGACGAAGTCGACGGTATGTCCGCTGGCGATCGCGGTGGAGTTGGAGCTCTTGCTGCTGTGTGCAAGAAAAGTGAGATACCCATGATTTTGATCTGTAACGAGAGGCGGCAACCGAAGATGAAGCCGTTCGATTTCGTCACCTATGACCTACCGTTTCGGAGACCGACGGTGGACCAGATACGCTCCCGTATCATGACCATCGCCTTTCGGGAAGGTCTCAAGATGCCTGCACCTGTCATCAACGCCTTGATTGAGGGGAGCCATGCCGATATTCGTCAAGTGGTCAACATGATCTCGACTGCCAAGCTTGATCAGAATGCAATGGACTTTGATAAGGGCAAGCAGATGTCCAAGTCTTGGGAGAAACATGTCATCTTGAAACCTTGGGATATCACCAACAAGATCCTTGGTGGGGGCCTGTTCGCGGATAGCAGCAAGGCGACTTTAAACGACAAGATCGAGCTCTATTTCAACGATCATGAGTTCAGTCCGCTCATGTTGCAAGAAAACTATCTTGGCACGAATCCTATACGGGCCTCGAAGTACGGTGGTAGAGAAAAGAACCTCAAGCTACTGGAACTTACATCCGAAGCCGCAGACAGCATCAGCGATGGTGATCTGGTCGATCGAATGATCCACGGGTCTCAACAGCAGTGGAGCCTGATGCCAACACATGCCATCTTCAGCTTTGTTCGTCCCGCAAGCTTTGTGTCGGGTAGTCTGGCAGGCCACCAGACGAGATTCACTTCCTGGCTCGGCAAGAATAGTTCCCAGCAGAAGTTGACCCGAATGGTCAAGGAGATCCAAGCACATATGCGTCTCCGATCTTCTGGCGACAGACACGAAGTTCGACAGCAGTATATCCCGATGATGTGGACTCAATTGGTCAAGAAGTTGGAGCAAGAGGGTAATGATGCTGTTCCGGAGATGATTGACCTCATGGATAGTTACTTCCTTACTCGGGACGACTACGATGCTATCATGGAACTTGGTGTCGGTCCAATGGATCAGGACAAGGTCAAGATTGAGTCCCAGGCAAAGGCTGCGTTTACGAGACAGTAAGTTATGCCCACTACATTTTCCTACTTTCAATGCTGATTTAAATCTGCAGATATAACCAAGCATCGCATCCTATGCCCTTCATGAAAGCCTCCAACGTCGTCGCTCCTAAGAAAGCGGCCAAAGAGAAACCAGACTTAGAAGAAGCGATCGATGAGTCTGACGAAGGAGAGGTGATTGAAGAGACCAAGCCGGATGAGGAGGATGTAGATATAAGCAAAGATAAATACGTCAAACAGCCGAAGAAAAAGGCTGCGGCTAAGAAGGCTCCTGTGAAAGGGAAGGGGAAAAAGAAGGCCGTTGTTGATGATGATGATGATGAGGATGATGAGAGTGAGGAGGAGGTGAAACCGAAGGGGAGGGGGAAGGGGAAGGTGGCTGCTGGGAAAGGGAAGAAGAAGGCTTGATTGCACTTGGACCTCTTGGCACGGATGGTTAATTTGTATACATAGTTTTGTATCGCTGGATGGCATGGTTGTGTAGTATGGGTATGAGAATGGCTGGTTTGTGTTTCTGGTGTCGGTGTTTGAGAGTATGGTAAGGAATACACTTGATACCTGTCTACCAGGATTTTGTTTTAACCTTTTGACCCTTGTTCTTCTCCGATTGAAATGGTGACATGATGTTTATAGAGGAGGTTGTCTAGACACATATTAAAGGTTTGCAGCACCGTGAGAGACTATTCACTAATTATTGTGTTCTTCTTCTGCCATGGAACTAGAGCCTGCCAGTGCCTAGCGTTCCGGAATGGTCAGTAGGATCATGGAGATATTGTCTAAATACTGAACTGGAGTTCACTGCACCACGAGGAACTGTTCACCAAATTGTGAGCTCTTTGACCGCCGCGTTAGTGAACACTCCCAAATGCCTCGAAACCAGGAGTCAGTGATGAGATTAAAGACCTATTGTCTAAATATTTGTCTGGCGTTCACTATCTAGTGAGAGGTTCTTCACCGCCAGACTGCAATGTTGTTGTTTATCTCTTACGCGCGCGTGATCAGAGGTTGAAAGCGTGAATCCGACGTCACGTTTGTTTATGTTTTGATACCAAGCCGCGTTCCCAGAAGATTTAAACCCTCGATCTCCCTCCCGATCTCTTCAACCTCTCAACCTCCCCGCAATCTCCTCGCAACCCACAAGCCTCAACTCGCCGCCTCGCACCATGCCTCACATCAAGTCCCACTTCGATGCTGATGACCAGCTCAGCCTTGGCTATATGGGTTTGTTTGCCTTCACTGCTACACAAAAACGCAAGACTGACACCCTAATTACAGGCCGTCGTCTCCGCCGCTCCTTGAGCGTCGACAATCTGCGAGGCTCTGCCTCATCTTCAACCGTAGCCGAATTTGGCGGCTATCACGATGTTCAATTCCGCGTCGAGGATGCCGTTTCTCGAGGCCCGGTATCTGCCCAAGGCACCGAAGGTTGTGCTCATCGCTTACCCGTTCTCCAGATTGTTGTCACACCGCCTGCTGAAGGCGCTGCTCCGGCAGAGTTGTCTGTCGGCTCCTACCACTCTGCTGCCGTCGGCGGCTCAGTGGCCGTCAACGTCCCTTGGGACAGAATCAACTCCTGGCGTGAGACCACAGGCATGAATGGCAGCATCATGGATGCTCCTTCACCCCTGGGCCCTCGCCCTTTCACCCAGGAAGAGATCGCCCAGCATGGGGCTGTCATTGGCCAAGGCAGTGACGGCGACGAGCAGGCCGTGGGCGACGCTGCGCTCAAGCGAGCCTTGCTGCTCCGAAAGGTACGGAACCAGGCAGACTTGAAGCTCCATATTAATGTTACTATACAGACGTCATTCAGTCCCTCAACTCTGAGCGGTCGTTTGCCCGGGCTTGTCTCTTCGCCAGGCAAACGAGAGCAGGCGGGTCCACAAGACTCAGGCCCATCTCGCCAGAATGGGGACCCGGTGAAGGTAGACCGAACTTGGACCCTTTGGGTCCCTCCTACAAACATCAGAAAGATAGTAACAGTATTCCAGAAAGAGCAGGCATCAATGCCTAGTCAGACCAAGGCTCGTGAGGAGGTTGCTCCGCTCGGCAAGCCCAGCAAGAAGGTATCTTCCGCGAGGCCGGCACCGATTCAGATCATTCCGATCCAGAGGCAGGCTAACCTCGATGATATTCAGACCTACTCCACCGAAGGTCTGATTCAGGTTCTCCGACGCGTCTACAAACCGAGACCCATCCCCGCCGAAGTCCTCGCCGCTCTGCCTTCAGACCATGACACTTCCGAGCTGGACACCCCGACCACGCCCCCCTTCCTCCTAACCCTCGAGCCGAAGGACCTCAACTACGTCAGGTACTACGTCGACACGCTCATCCAGCGCAATGTCATCGCCTCGGTCGAGAAGGCCCGCCTAGACGATGAGTGCGAGGACAAGGAAGTCGAGAAAGCCGGTCTCCAAGCCACCATCAACGAGTGCTACACCGAGAATCAGCTCAAGATGCAGAAGCTTGATCTCATGCAGGGCCTGATCACGTACCTGGTGTCTATCTTGCAGGGTGATGAGGCACTACAACAGGCTAGGGATGCGGCTGACAACTTGAATTTGGCTCAGGAGATAGAGGCCGCGATTGAGAATGTGAGGGTTCACTGGACCAGCATTGGAGCTGTCGATGTTGCTCGTGGGGTGGCTAGCGAGGATCCGGCCGACGACAAGGACGAGAAGATTCGGAAGTTGGAGGAGGGACACAAGTATTGGCGCGCTCGTGCTGAGGCCGCGGAGGCGTATGTCCGGTCGCTTGAGTAGGGTTTGGTCCGCTTGATGGCCTTCGTCTTTGGGATCTGTAAGAGGTCTTCTATCTTGAGGCCTTTCCTGTTAGGGATGATTCTTGGGGCTCTTCTTTTGGCCATCTCATTTCCGGAGCGCTTCCATCAGCCTTTCTCCTTGGCATCTTCTCTGGAGTTCTTCTCTGTCTACAACATTTCGATTGGAGGATTTGCATCTTTTTCCCTACCCTTCCCTTTGGCTTAAGACTCCCGCACATGTTCTGGATGCAAAACTTTTGTATCGAGGAGTTTTGGTACAGTTGCATCTCGGCGTTTGGGCGGGTAGCATGGCAGAAATTGGTGTTAGGATATTTGATTGAGTCTCACATGAGCCTCTTTGCTTTCGGAAGGCGCCTTACGGGTTGCATAATCTTCCACAATGTACCTAATGATTCTAAATATGATGGTCTTTCTGGACTGCCATGAACTCCGCTTTGGCCAAAACTTTGGTGCTTCGTGAAAATTGTGAGGTTTTTGATGATTCTGTGATTGGTGCTTCAAATTTTGTAGTGAATCTGTAGCGGGTAGAGCAGCCATGGCAAAGATGCAAACCGGAAACCCCAACACGTCTCGCAGGGTGATATAGATCAAGGGAAGGAGTCACGAGGAATGCAACCATGGTATTGAGGTCGGGGAAAAGGGTGGCAAACCGCCGAGGTGCATGACCAAGCGTCTCGTCTTTCAGCCCCCGCAATTCTCAGCCCAGCAAGTCGCCACGTCATACCGCGTTTCCCTCCAACCAGAGCACGCTAGATGCTGTTGACTTGCTCTCAAGGGAGTCGTCTTTCAAAAAATTAGCCATTATATATTGCTAGCTAGGTTACATTTACATCAAATCAACCAAGGCACTTTGGCGGAGTGGTTAACGCGCGGGCCTGCTAAGCTCGTTCCTTCGGGAGCGTGTGTTCGAATCACACAGGTGTCGATATCTTTTTTTCTTTGCTCATGCGAGACTACATTCCTTTTGCCTCATTCGCACATTTTTGTGTTCCCTACTTTCAATTTCACGATGCAGCCAGCAAGATCTTAGGTTCTGGAATTAGGGTAACGCGATGCCACCCGCTGGAATTCTTCTATCCAGTCTACTTGATGAGGCTCTTATTCCCCGCCGAGGAAATACTCATCATACTCGTACATGCCCATTCTTGCCTCTACACATGTCTGTATAAATTGCGAAAACGTAACAATCCACCCTCTATAACTTATTTCGGCCAGGTTGTAGCCGATGAACACTGGAGTGTTCCTTTCTTCGTCGAAGTTCTGCCCAATAGTGAAAGAGGTCCTCAATCGCCTCATCTCCCTGTTCCTCCTCACTTAAGTGAGCTAGAATACGCACAGAGTCATATCTCCCCCACCAGCTTCTTCCATATTGCTGGAGGTATGCAGTATTCATTCTTGCATGTCCGTCTTGGACGAGGCTGAAGCGGACTACTCGCAGGAGGGGCATACTGCTTGTCCTCTCAAGGTACGTTTTGATATGCTCGGCATAGCAATCGCCAAATGCGAACATAACAAGGAGGAGGACTTCGACGAACAAGGGCGGTTCGGATTCTCTTCAAGCGAGTATTCAGCAAGATGAAAAGAAGATCAAAGAGAGCATTTGCGATCCCTGCTTTTTGAACCCAAAGGTTCCCCTTCTGTTTTTCGACACAGGTCTCCCATTACCTTCGAGAAGTTTACGGTCCCGTTCATGTCACTCCACCTCCTATTTCGTGTTTCTCAGGCCGCCTCTATGCATGGGATCATTACTCGTTTCAATGTGGCGATCAAACTTTGAGCAGTCGTCGTCCTGCTGGTCAATCAACAATGAGGTTTCAGGTTTCAGGAGCAGGGGGTTTTGGATGTCCCGGTTAATAATGTTTGTGATAAGCCTGTTGCCCAACTAGATCTGCACAAGGTGTAAAAGCCACAACCGAAAGCGGTTCTTGCGGTCGTCCCCCTCCCCAAATTCTCGAATTGATTGAGGCCTGGAGACGCTTCAGATTTTGGCTGATAACGAGGAAAAATTATATCCAAAGGTGACCTGACGTTTGAGTGAGAGCAAGCGTGGTCGCGTCGCAATTGGACGGGTGGTTGGTCCAGCGCTAAAACGAACATCACTTTGAAACACCTGCGCTCACCATCTCTAACAATTTGACTCCACCAACAGCTTGTCTGTCTCCACTGGCACGCGCAAACTGCACGGGAGCGCGGGCGGGGACCCCCTTTGAGCTGTGCTACCACGAGGTCGCGGGGACGGCAGTGCGTCAGACCTGTAAGTTTGGTGACTTTACCCAATGGGAACCGGGTGTCCCTGTTTCTGGACACGCTGGCCTACACCAATGTTCCGAGCCTGGGTCTGATGCAGCTTCGCTGCCTTAAAAGTGGTTTTGACGTACATTACGAATACACTTGCCCCTGGAAGGAGGCTTCAGATGGCGAGTGTTACTGCAGGAAATATAGACAAGCATGCTCTCCACGCCAATGACTTCCGGCCTTGCACCCTTGACCCAAGTATGTAAGTCGCTGCCACGGCTACACTTCTCTAGTCTTCCCTTCACCTGCCTGCCGGCTGCTGGATTCGGAAGCATTCTATTTCTGCTCATGGCGTTGTCTTCTTTGCAGCCACATTACGACTCTCGCTTCATTTTCTAGGTCTCTGCAGGCAATGATGGGATTGGTGCGCAACTGCTTGTCTATTTCATATATCCTACCGTCCGGAGCCACCCTTCACCCTCTATTCTAATAGCCTCGCCTCGATGGCCTCGCCTTCGCCCGCTGGAAACCGGGTAAACGCCGTGCTGTTGAGCTTCACGGCTCTTTCGGGGTCTGTGGTATTCCTTCGACTGTGCAACAGAATCGCCTTCTCTCGCAATGCCGGATTCGAAGATGCATGTATAGCATTTGCTATGGTAAGGATAGCTCTGAAAGGGTTCCAATACCATCATAAGACAGTGGATGCTGATGACCCTGAAGGCTTGCTCCATCGGACTTACAATCACAATATTTGAACAAGTCCGCAACGGGCTTGGCTGGCACAACACTGGAGTCACACCACTCATGTTTGTTGACTTTCGAAAGGTAAGCTCCCATCCCGAGCCAGGATTATAGGGTCTAAGCTTCATACAGGCCTTCTGGGCAAGCATGTGGATTTACAATCTGGCCTTGACCTTCACTAAGGTTTCCATCCTCGTTCAGTACCACCGCATCTTTGCAACTCGTCACTTCCGGATCATTTGCCGCAGTGTACTGGGTGTGGTCGCAGCTTATGGCATTTGGACCTTACTCGGAAGTATCTTTATCTGCACGCCGGTCGCCTTTTTCTGGGATAAAACCATCCCAGGTGGAACCTGTCTGAACCAAGCACTTGTATGGTATATGAACGCAGGTGTCAATATTGTCACAGACTTCACGATTCTTCTTCTGCCCATGCCCATCATTCGTGGGCTCAACATCCCAAAGGCGCAAAGAAGAGCACTGATGGTAATCTTCGCTCTTGGTGGAATGTAAGTCACTGATGACCTATCACTTTCTTTCGGCGTGCTAACTCGCAACCTAGCGCTTGCATCATTTCCATAGTTCGCCTGCGGACGCTTGTTACCATAGCTAATTCCGAGGATCCGACCTATGATAACCTTTCCGCGGCAACCTTCTCGGCGGTTGAGGTGAATATCGGCATCGTTTGTGCCTGTTTGCCATCAATGCGACCTTTGTTTGCTTCGATGTTGCCAACATACTTCCCCAATGGATCACGCTACACCATTGTACGAACTGGTGGTAATGAAAACCAATTCAGGCACCTACGGAATTTGTCTGGGAGCTCTCACACGACGTGGACACCAAGCTTAGCATCACATTCCCGGACTGGAAGTAAGGTGTCATGTTGCACAGTAGAGAGTGAGTTGGATAATATCTACAAACACCAATCTATGGCATTGAGCCTGGGCTACCAGAGAGATGGCCCCGTGCAACAGGTCATCGTCGACTCCGCCACCCGCAAACCAACCTCCAATGCTGTAGCTCCGAAACTTCCAAGGCTACCCGATAACATGGCAGTGATTGGGTCCGTGGATCCAACACTACGCCGTGCTAGTCGGCATTCCAATTGTGGTTGTAGATCCTCTCGCCATCATCCGAAAAAGAAAGTTTTTCAGAAACCACTTCCTATCACACCATTTCCAGTCAGCGAACCGCGCACAAAGTAGAGAGTGGCTCTTCATAAACGCAACGATCCAGATTTAATGTCTCGGATCTGCATTGTTCTACAGACCAATGTTGCACGGCGCAACAGCGCACTGCTCAGTCGCATGTTCCAATTTCGCGCTGGACCTCACCGAGTACATGCAGGATTTTTTCATTTGTCTATTCTCTTTTACGACATTCTTTTAATCGAATCTGCCGTACTGGTACGCTCCTTTCAACCGCACACATTTTCTTTTCTGTATATATGTCGAGCCGCATTCATAGCGATGGCTCTGTCACACTCTTTGCATCGTTCGGTCGCTCACTTACGTCGTCAACAATGGTTCATGATTGATGAACAGCCAGTTCCTGGATTCGGGGCGTTTCCGTATTTCCTACGTACATGCTACTGGCTAGAATTATAGGCGTAACTGTTCAACATATACCCATGTCATAATACTTGTAACCTACAAATTGTTATCATTATCTCCAACATCTCAATTCCAATGCTCTGTGCGGGAGCTCCACAACCTTCCACCATGCATTCCGAAAATCTCAGCCGCCTGTTCCGACCATGCATCAATTCTCGTCAGGGCTTTCCTTCCTCGGCCACAATCTGCAAGGTCCTTTGTCTCCCACCCAGACCTTAAAGCCTTTGTGGTGGTTGCTAAGCCCTGCCCATATCAGCTGTGCACGTGTTGGTGCCTTTGCCATGGGCTCGTATTCGACCTGCATGAACATGGATCTGCAGTCATACTCGCATACAGAATGACCCACTACCCAACTCCCGCATTCCTGGCTTAGAGTATAGCTTGATATTCCGTGGGTTTTGGAAGGTCATTCCGGAGGCGGGTCTTGGGGATCCGCGGTGCGCTTGCGCTTGGTATTTTGTTGCATGGGGGCTTGAGGAGGTAGTGGAGGGAACGAGGGAGGCTCCGCTTTGATGCTTTCTCTTCATGCGATTGTATGACTCGGGTACGAGGGAGAGGGAGTAGGTACCGTTGATTTGGGCTCGTATGTACTTCTACGAAAGAAGAGTTCCAGAAAGTTGGTGTTACTGTTGGGGGCGTGTCAGATGGAGGAACAACTTCGACCTCCTTGTGGGAACTTTAGTGTTCCAGGGGTATGCAGAAACAACCCTCAGTAAACCCTTTCAACTTCTTCACACTTCTTCAATAGATTGGAAATTGTTTCAATCCCATTGTTCGAGTATGGTCCGAGGGTGAAGGCCCGGAGAGAAGAGAGCGATAACAGCTCGGATTCTCGCACTCTGAAAGCTCCGCCCGATACGAACTCCCGACCTGCAGGCAACTCCTTCTATGCATACACTGCAGTCACCTTCTTACGCGTCCCTTACTATGTCTCCTCACTTCGCATAGCACATCTTGGTCTCTCGGATTGAACTGTACCTAGCCACGGGGCAGATCCATTAGACCTGTCGCAACCCTTGATCAAGTTCGTATGCACACGTTGACTAGAACGTATAGTCTCTAGGATAAGTCCCAGTTTCCTGGTTCCCAGGCAGACAATCAAGATGCCAGTGTGCCGACGAATTAGAGATGGTTGTTCCTTCCCAATCCGGCACGGAATAGCGAATAGTCACGTGCACGACGCCCGACAACGTGTTTGGGACCGGAGGCGTGAGGTCACGATGCGGCGTCTCGTTTGCATGTCATGCACACACGGAATGAACGGAGGATGCCATTAACTGGAGCGGGATAACTTACCTGCCTATGGCCTTCTGTAATTCGCTGTTCATCTTGC